ATACAACACATACAGTATATCAATACAGTATCTACAACATTGCTAGTAACAATGTTTAATGCACAATTAAATGATGACTACAGCATTCAAAAACAGTTCTATATTTAAATAAGCCAATAGTTATTGTGGGAAGCACTTTTTTACCCGTCGGTCCGTCGGTCCGTTGGTCCGTCGGTCCGTTGGTCCGTCGATCCGTTGGTCCGTCAGTCCGTCGATAAAATTAACATGTATGTTTTATATATGTACTCAATGTAGAATTCATCGCTGAGTTCGAATCTGGAATTCAAAATATTTTATTGCGACTATTTTTCGAGTTATTCGACTTAGAATGTTTTTTATCAAAAATTTTAAATTAACGTAATTTATTAATATGATATATGAGTTCGATGTAGATTTTAACGCTGATTAATATTATCAACTTGGTTTTAAAATTAACTCTATAATTTTCGATCTATTCAACTTTAAAATGTGAAAATTTGAATAACTTTAAAAATAGTTAATGTAGAAGATTGTTAATTCAAAATCCGAAATCGAGGTCTAATTCTACATCTAACGCATATATTATATTAATAAATTACGTTAATTAAAAATTTTTGATAAAAAACATTCTAAGTCGAATAACTCGAAAAATAGTCGCAATAAAATATTTTGAATTCTAGATTCGAACTCAGCGATGAATTCTACATTGAGTACATATATAAAACATACATGTTAATTTTATCGACGGACCAACGGATCGACGGACCGACGGACCGACGGGTAAAAAAGTGCTTCCCAGTTATTGTAATGATGATGAATTATATTTTGTCAAGTTTACCATTTACTCCAATACTTGACTTGAGTTATGAATTGATTGCTTACTTGTATAACAAATTGCTATTACATAGCAATACAGTGAATACTATTTTATTTTTATACAACACATACAGTATATCAATACAGTATCTACAACATTGCTAGTAACAATGTTTAATGCACAATTAAATGATGACTACAGCATTCAAAAACAGTTCTATATTTAAATAAGCCAATAGTTATTGTAATCATGATGATGAATTATATTTTGTCAAGTTTACCATTTACTCCAATACTTGACTTGAGTTATGAATTGATTGCTTACTTGTATAACAAATTGCTATTACATAGCAATACAGTGAATACTATTTTATTTTGAATGCTTTCTTATTACTAATAAGTTATTAGGTAGTTGTATTTTTAGTGGTCTAATATCTATAGAAGTTCTATAATAGGACTACACTTATTAATAATAGTAAGTTATTATGATGCATAAAATGTAATAATTGCATATAACTGTATGTGGTGTTAGGTAATTTAGATACATACAAGATTACTTAATTGACTTGATTTGTAAAATATGAATAAATTATTTGTGTCGTTAAGCAGAAGCAGTTGTGTCCTGTAATCTACAGTACAGTGTGATTGGCATTCATCACAATTAACTCATAGTTCATGAAAAGACATTATTTTCGTAAAAAGAGGTTTTAGTGTACATTTGACAGCCCTTGTACTGCTATATTCAACGTAACGTTATATCAGAATAGCATCTTTTAGGTTTGGTTAGAAATGACTAGCCACCAGCCATTAAATCTGTTACCCATTTCATCATTCTATTCCCCTCTATGTGTTTTCTCTATGCATTCACCCCATCCTCTCTATAGTTGTCACTACCCTCCCACCCCCTATTGTATGCTAATACCTATTGTAACTCATTAAGTCTGTTACCCATTTCATCATTCTATTCCCCTCTATGTGTTTTCTCTATGCATTCACCCCATCCTCTCTATAGTTGTCACTACCCTCCCACCCCCTATTGTATGCTAATACCTATTGTAACGCTGTTTTCTAATTTTATTTCTATATTAAATGTATATATGATTTGACAAATAATAACGTTTTGAAATAAAAGCAAATTTTTGTATCAAATAAAATGAGTGAACAGTTCTCTGGTTTGAGGATTGAATGATTGACTGATTGATTGATTGGATGTTTACTGTTATATCAATATTAGTGACTAACTGTAGAGATGTTGGCGTTAGTGAACCGAATCCTCGATTGGCTAAGAAGTCTGTTCTGGAAGGAAGAGATGGAACTGACTTTGGTTGGACTGCAGTATTCGGGCAAAACCACCTTTGTCAATGTGATCGCCGTATGTATTGCAGTATATTGTATATGACAGTACATGTAGTCATACTAGTAATGATAGTAACACTACCACTCACTCCCTCCCCCTCTCACTGTCAAGTCGGGCCAATTCTGCGAAGACATGATTCCGACGGTTGGCTTCAATATGAGGAAAGTGACGAAAGGAAACGTTACCATTAAAGTAAGACATCAACACTTGAACACATGAACACATGTCACTCACATCTAATCACTGATTGTGCCAAATGTCTAGATTTGGGACATCGGAGGTCAGCCCAGATTCAGGTCTATGTGGGAACGATATTGTAGAGGAGTTAATGCCATTGTGTATGTATTGCTAGTCATGGTTGTCATGATTGTAATGGTTGTATGTATGGATGGATCAGATATATGGTGGACGCGGCAGACCAGGAGAAGGTGGAGGCATCACGTAATGAGTTGCATAATCTGCTGGAGAAGCCACAGTTGGCGGCTATCCCTGTATTAGTGTTGGGAAACAAACGTGATTTGGCCAACGCTTTGGACGAGAAAGAACTCATTGAACAGATGTATCCTCTCATCCATTGTCTAATTTGATGAATAATTTATATTGAATTAATTGATAGGAATTTAGCCGCTATTCAAGACCGAGAGATCTGTTGCTATTCTATATCTTGCAAAGAGAAGGATAACATCGGTATTGATATAAATGTTTTAATTACTGAACATTTACTGAGCATTGATTATGGTTTGTATTGACAGACATAACACTTCAATGGCTTATATCTCATTCCAAGTCTGGTTCGCGTTAGACATTACAGTCTTATTGCTCTCATCTGAAGATATTTCCAATACTTTTTATTTAACTTTAATTTTAAAACTCTTAACTTAATAATAATACGAAGATTTAATTATTTCTAACATAATATTTATCAATTATAATACATTTGCAAATCTATTACAATTATATACCTTTATTATATTATTACCACTCAATAGTCAAATTCACTTATTATTAACGTTATATGTATTGTAATTATTATTAAATATGTTTTAATAATTACTTTTATTATAGATTATATATGTATAATGATTTGTAATAATTATATATACTATTTGTTTTATTCTTTGATACCATTATTATGATTGTTTAAAATATATTAATTTTGTGAGTTTTAGAATGAATTGACTTAAATGTTAATTCAATTAAACAAACATTTAATCTAAATTTCTCATTCCATGATTTTAAACATATTGACATTTATATATTTAGTAATACAGGATAATTCTTATCATTATTGCACATGTAATGTCATAATTAGTGTAAACTTTATTTTATTAATTTCATAACTTATTTCTGACCAATTTTATAGATAATTAAAACATAATTGATAAAAGTACAATCAAATGTTATCAAATAGTCTCTCTCTCTCTCTCTCTCTCTCTCTCTCTCTCTCTCTNTCTCTCTCTCTCTCTCTCTCTCTCTCTCTCTCTCTCAAATGAAAAGTACCGTAATTATGTTGGAATGAATTTATATGACTGTTATTTATAATATTTAGTTATAAAGTATTACGAATAGTTTTTGTAAACATTTTGATATGAGATAATTGGTGTTCTTGAGTTGAGAGTTGTTTTGGATTCAATGATGTGATGTTTAGACCATCTCTTGAACCAAACAATTATTATAAGAATAAAAGGCATAATTAAAAGCCACCAAAGAATCCATAGAAACCAGAGGTTGAATGCATCGAATTGACAGTTGTGTCCATAAATATCTTCTCTATAATTGTTGATACATTTGCACGAATTGTTTCTGCAAACTCTCAATGGATCCGAATGTTGGCAATCAATGTCTGTCTGACACTTATAAGGCATACATTTAGACCAAGTTATGTTAAATCTATGATTTGCATCACATTTACATCTCTGTCCGACACAAATCAGATGGTTATCTCCAAATTGAGTGCAATCTCTACTATCATTACATAATGTATTGAAGTTTGTTTCACATAAACCACTGATTTTGTCGATATAATTATAAGCCATACATTTGTTACATGTATTGTTAAAACAAATCCTTTTTGAGTCAAAATGATTGCAGTCGGTGTCAGAAAGACAGGACTTGAGGACACAACTCATAATATGCTTATTAAAGGAATAATTAGGTTCACATTCACACCAATTATTAACACAAATTTCATTTGATTGACAAGTTGTTGAGGAAAGACATGATTTTTTGGTGGGATTTTGTAAAATAAACTCATTTCTTGTGCGAATCAGTTGTTCTTCTTTTAAAGTTAATATTTGTTGACAAGAATTGAAATGATTATTAAAATCATTATTTCTGACAAATCCATAATTGCATTGACAAGAGTTGTCCAGTGATTTGAAGTCTAGTTTGCAAATTAAATTTTCATCCAATGTTTGACAATCGGTGTCTAAATTGCAAATAAATGGTTGGCATTGTTTTGTCCCTAAATTCCACTTATAATTAATATCACATTTGCATTTATTATTAAAACACATTTCATTTTTTCCTAAACAATCATTCATTGATTTACATTTGGATTTTAAATTAAAACTATTTTCAGTGTAATTGCTGTGGAAATAAATTATTATAACAAATAATATAATTGCTATTATATTAAAAGAAAATGTGAATAATTTACAAAAGTTATCCATTTATTCCATTAATTGTAATAACGATATATTATTACCATATTTTCAAAAATTTTATTATTCACTATCAAAAATCAGTAATCATTTGAAATGTTTACTAAATCTCCTATCGATTTAAGTCTAGTCTAAAGTTTAGAATTTAAAGAAACAGCACTTTATATTAAATATATAATGCTGTATAGACTATACAGAATAGTACTGCACACGACTAGAAACTAGTGTGAACAAGTGTAATTTTGCCAATCATTTAAAGTTATGGAAAATGTTGTGAATTTAATCTACATTTTTATTTAAACAAGTTAAACATTATACATACAGTGCATGTACAGTATATGCTTATTAGCATGTTTTACACCAGGGTTGTTTCCCCATTTACTGCCCATGGTATCAACCAATGCTACATGTGGTCAAATGTCAAATTTTCAATATCGTACCTGTCTCAGGATATTCAATAAAATATGTTTAATAATTACTATTATATTTTAAAAGTGGTATATTCAGTATAAAATTTACACTGACCCTGCATATTATGTATATGTTGTTTAATGTTGTTTAATTATTCTTTACAAATGTATTTAATGTTCACTATATGTAATGCATTTCCCATTTCTGAAAAATATATTCCCGGAAAATAATTTTGACCAGGAAAATTCTTTATACTGTATTTCTTAAAATTAGGAAAAGTAGACAAAAATGTAGTCAAACGATGACTAATCGCTGAATATAAATATTTTAATCATATTTATTACATGTACCCTAACATGCTTAAACATATACAAAAGAAAATTTTATTAAATCTAATAATTAAATCTAATAAATTAGTTTAATTTAAATTATTTTTAGTCAACATTTAAAAATTGCGCTCAAATGATGACGTAATGCCATATGAATACCAAGCAATTCTTTTTTATCTATCAAAAACTTTATAAAATTCATTGATTACTCTGTTTAAAGAATTTTTCGCGTCAAGACATTCCTATTATAGCCTACTTTTTGGTTTTACAAATGAATCCGGTCTCAAAACCCCGGCTTTTCAAAAATGCGCTCAAATGGGATCCACTGATTACGATCGTAGAAGAAGATGATATGTTATGCTCAAGCGTTGCTCGCATACGAACCCACGGGAATTAATCAATTAATAAAATCATTTTTAGTATTTTTATACTTTTAAAACAATTTATCTTTAATTAATACTAAAAATCAAAATTATTAAAAATATTATCTTATTGTTATTTATTTCCCTGTTACACTTTTTATTTGCCGTATTTTTCCTATTTCTCTCCGGGGAACATGGGAATTTTGGAGTTTTAAATTAATTGATAACATTAACTGTATGTAAAGTGTTAAATTATTATAAATTCATTATGTTACATGTAGGGTCATAGGATGTTAAATAACTACAAATATTATCAAATCAATTATCACAACTTTAGTTAAAATATGTATTAAAAGTTAATATTAAGCAATAAGAATGTTGTGCAATTAAATAATGATCATATCTTATGAATCATTGATGATCAAACAATGAATCTCAATTGTCATAGACTAAGCATTATCCATGTCAAATTTAACATTACTAATGTTAGCCTATGGGAAGCGTCTCATGTTAAATTATATCGGGTGTTTATCTATGGGGGACAAAAGTAATTTGCCTCCCATTTCAAAACCCCTCGGTTGATTTTAATGAAATAAAGTTTATTATATCGAGATAATACGGGAAAATTATGTTGTAAAGGTATATGGTAAAAATATACTTAAGTTCAGCTACAGTTATGAACTTAAGCTGTAATTCCGTATTACAATGTAAGTAATAGCGAGAAATCACACAATATCGACATTGCAAAAGGTGATAGATACACATAAAATTGTGTTAAATAAATTTGGTGAAAAATTCACGGTTTAGTTTTAACAGTGAATAGTTTCTCATAAAGTGGAGGAAGGGAGGGGGCCTCGCGATCCTATAAACCACATTTTTCATGAGAGAATTGTGGTTAAAAAATATTTATACAATATTATTGATTTGAATCGTAAAACCGAGGTTTTATTGTAAATTCATTATTTAATATAAATTATTCCCAAAAATGACCTTAACTTTATAGTAAACATACAGATAATAAATGAATCGTTTTTTACTGAATTTTGTTTATACTCTAAAATACAGGCGCTTAAAGTAACGTTCTAATACTGAAATCCTTGAAAATGCCGAAACTTGCATAGAGTAATGACTCAACTCAATAAAATTAGTATTGATACATAGTCATTACTCTATGCAAGTTTCGGCATTTTCAAGGATTTCAGTATTAGAACGTTACTTTAAGCGCCTGTACTCTAAAAGATGATAACTTATGAGAGATAATGAATGGAAGTTATGTTGAAATGAATGGTATTTAATGGGAATATTCTCTCAATCATAAGACTGTATAATCTATGAATAGTGAATGTCATAAAGCA